GTCGGAAGCCAACTCAGCGGTTTACTTCCATAACCAGTATACCGTCTGGGAAGCATCACTGGTTCTGTGTGCATTCAGTCTGTTACGAACCCGTGCGCACGCAACAATGTTATTATACTCTACGTTATAAAAGGTTATAAAAGATAAAATTCTTACATACCGATGAATGCTCTCTCTTTCATTTTACAGAAAAATAAAATTAAAAAAAATGTTCTTGACCACTTTGTTATTTCTTATCTTGCTTTTGTGCTTGGCATGCTAGATTTTAGCAAGCCAGGTTAATTAATTACTAAGTAAATAACACCACATCAACCCTGTCTTCTGCATCAGGTGTGATATAACGGTTGCTTCCACTATACCTGGATTTCCGTGCTTTTATTATTAATTAGCTAGTTAAACATTATACATAAGTGTGTATTAAACTTCCCTAATTTAGCATTAATAAACACTGTAGCTGTTTTTAATTTTCTCCCGAAATTTTCACCTACCGCAGAATAAACTACTTTATCACTGTTCAGAACTTAAACATTCAATCTTAGTACTATCTCTTACCAACTCCCCGAAGTTTAAGTAGTTAAAGTTTTCTCATGAGAGTTTGCACTTCCCCATTTCATTCATTAGTCTTATACCCCAGTGATCATCTAATGAATTTTACTGGAGAAGGGGAATATAAGTTTTGGAGTTTTCGAGCCTCCTCTAAGCGCAACAATTAATGACTACCCCCGGGCAAAATTGCCTCCTGGTTAATTTGGCTCGGAAAGTGAGTGACTCGAGGAAAGTTCTTCATGAGAAGGATTGATGATGAGTAATTCCGTTTAGCCGAGTTTATTCTGCTGGTTATTCGTTTAATCAATGGGTAAAATGTGATTTTCTGAAGATGTGTTGGTGCGTTCATCAATCAAAAGTGGTTTTCTAATTAACTGGCTGTTTATTTCGAAGCTGTTTGTTTGTTTATCTGCGATTTCCAGTTCGCTTTTGCTGCATTTTTGCTTCTGAGAGATTGCTAACTGAGGGGTTTTCTCCATCTGAGTTTTATGCACTGTTTGCTTATAAAAGTCTTTACCGGGTATTTATTTCCGCAAATTTATTTTGATCGTAGGCATTTTCTTCCAGTAATAAAAATGTTAAAAAAATTACTTAAATGGAGCGTGTTTTAAAAATCCGGGAACACTTTAAAAAATTTATTGCAACCGAGTAACATTACAGAGTAACGAAGTACATCATTTTATAAAGTAAAGTTGTACATTTTTTCAACAACACTTATTTTACAAACACTGTATGTGGGAACCATGTGTGATCATCCTACAAACGTCCACGCGATAAGCTAACTCTTGCCATACACGGCACAGTGTCTTCCGAAACTTTGGCTGCTACTTGTTCAGTTTTCCTTTTCAATTCCATAACATCACCTGGAAGAGGAGGAACATAAACAAGGTCCTTTACGTAACCCCATAAAAAGAAATCACAAGGGGTGATATTCGTGGACCTAAGGAGGTCATTTTAGTAGACACTGGTCTGTTGCTCCACCACGACCAATCCAACGATTAGGTAGCTCTGAGTTCAGATATGCCCCAACATCATGGTGAAAATGCGAGGGTCCACCATCTAACTGAAGGACAAAGTTTTCTGCTTCAGTTTGCAACAATGGAATTAACCAGGTCTGCAACATCTGAAGGAAGGACTCTCCAGTAACAAATTGTTCTTCAAAGAAGAAAGGTCTATAAAGTTTCTTGTGAGACATGGCACAAAAAAACATTGACCTTTGGAGAATCTCGCTCGTGTTCAGCAATGTTATAAGGGCTTTCTGTTCCCCAGATTCTACAATTGTGTCTGTTTATCTTCTTATTTGTATGAAATTTTGCCTCGTCCGAAAAAATTATTGAATTCACAAAAGGCTTCGTCTTTGTCCTGCAGTGCACATCAAAACTGGAATCGCTGGTAGTTGTCTTTAGGGTATAACTTTTGCACTAACTGTTGTTTGTATCGTTTCATGTTTAATTTTTTATGAAAAGCACGCCACACAGTCGTTGTTGACATTTCTCATGTGAAGCTGGGAAGACACTTTGTGTCGTGTGTGGCAAGAGTTAGATTATTGCATCGATGTTTGTAGGATGACACATGGTTCCCGCATACAGTGTTTGTAAAATGAGTATTGTTGAAAACACTTACATCTCTGTAAAGTGATGTACTTCGTAATGCTATTTGTTTAGCTACAATAAATTTTTTAAAAAGCTCCCGGACTTTTGAAACATGCCATATTTATTTATATTTTGGCATTTTTAAACTAAAAGAAACTAATCTTGCAAAAATTGCGAAATCTGACTTTTTATAAGCTTAAATTTGCTCACGAAATGTAGCTATGAAGTGCTTACAGTTATACTAGAAGTCTAAATTATCAACAATTTAAAAGTTTAAGTGGCACTAAGCCTCACGAGTTTACATTTGAAACTCTTAGTAGAATAGTGAATTACGTCAGTTGGTGCACCAACTTTAGTGTAATTTTGCTTAGTAGGACCAAAAGTTGACTTTCAATTTTGTACACCGAAAATTTCGTCTTCGAAATTGCTTATTTTGGAGAATTGCTTATTTTGGCGTAGAAACTCTAATTTTTGTTATAAAGATTTTTTTTAACCTGTATTTGGTGTCTGAACTATCTTTTATGATGCCCTTATTGTTTGCAAGATGCGATAGGGAAAAGCATCCCTGCCCGGTAGAAATTAAAAAAAATACAATTACGTTTTTAAAAACTGCTAATTTTTAATAAAAATTACAAATACACCAAAAATAGGATCTGTTTTTATTGGTCATCATGTGCTTGACATATACACTATTTCGTTTTTAAATAAAAATTTAGAAGTGAAATGATCTTTCCCTAAGCGTACTTTTACGATCAATATTTTTATCGAAACAACATTATGTCATTGTTTAATTTCTAAATTATGTATTTTTCGAAGCTGCTAGAAGTGAAAAGACAACATTCTTCGGCGGATGCGCATGCTCTGTAGCATATCTAAGCTATTAGATGTTCGACTCCCGTGTTCTACTACTATAGATTCGACCTAAAGGGTTAAAATTTACATTTTAATTTTCTGTTACTTATTTGCTGGCCCATTTTCAAATTTTGCTTACATATGCTATCCCAGAAGATAAAAAAGAAAATTCAAGATAAATTATGTTTAAAGTTAAATTTAAGCTATGCATTTCATCAAGATGACTCTAAATATATTTCTACAATTCAAAATATAAAAAAATCAATTGAAATTTTTCAGATATAGATCTTAAAATGTGTGACTCTAAGCAAAAATGCCTGTACCTTTCAAGTTTCGTGTTATTCAACCTCTTTATTTAACCTAATTAATTTTTTTAAGTAAAGAAGTTTAATTATTTTAAATATGAACTGTTAGTGTGTTACATTCATGATAAAAATTAATTACAGAAGTTTTTTTTCTTTAACAAATCAATAGAAAAATAATATGTCTTCCACTTCATGTCAGGTCCGTTACCTTGAGAATTATTTTACAAACTAATTGGGAATAAAATAATGAAGGGGGAAGAAGAAAATTTTTTTTATTTGCTGAATTTTTATATAAAAATACTCAATAGATTTTATTTATATTTTAATTGTAGAAAATTGTCAAAAGAAGTAATTTAAGTTTAAGTTTAAGTTAATTTTAAAAATTCTCTTGCGCCACTGCTGCAAGAATGAAATTTGAATTAACAAACACTCTTCGTAGGCAATTAAATGCAAATTTAAAGTTAATTTTAAATTAAATTTAATGCAAACAAATTATGTTGTGTTGCGAACTATCTACAATATCATTTAAATTCTGAAAGTATATGTAAATCAAGTGAAAGTATCAAATTCATGAATAAATATAAAATTCTAAAAATTATTTAATCTTAAAAAAATTATTTAGAAAAATGCATAAGTGAATGAATTTTGAGTAGGCAGGAGACAGACTTATCAAGGGAAAGTTGCCTCCAAACCTAACTCTTCAATCATTCAATTCGTGTTTCGTCATTCATGTAGCCAAGAGTAGAAGTCAAACCAAAAAGAAATTTAAACAAGTGGAATTTTGAGAAATTAGCAATTAAAAAACAAGAATTTAAAAAAAAATTTAAAAAATTAAAAAAAAAATAAGAGTAAAAACCAAATTTTTTTTTAAAACCAAAGTAGTTTAGTTTAGAAACTCTTGGCCCACAGAAACTCCCTACACGAATTCTGCATATAAATCAAAATAAACTAGAAATTATCTATCAAAACATATATATATTATACTTAAATAATACTAAAAAAGCATTATTTACTTGAAATTCCACTTGTTTAAATTTCTTTTTAGTAATTCACTACATTTGGTTTGACTTTTACTCTTGCCTGCATGAATGACGAAACACGAATTTAATGATTGAAGAGTTAGGTTTGAAAGCAATTTCCCTTTGATAAGTCTGTTCCTGTCTACTCAACAATCATTCACTTATGCATTTTTCTAAATAATTTTTTAGGATTAAATAATTTTTAGAATTTTATATTTATTCATGAATTTGAATCTTGCACTTGATTTACATATGCTCTCAGAATTTAAATGATATTGTAGATTAGTTCGCAACAACATTAATCATTTATTTGTTTGCATTAAATTTAATTTAAAATTAACTTTAAATTTGCTTTTTATGAATAGAGAATGTTTGTTAAATTTAACCTGTAGAAATATATTTATAGTCATTTTATGCAATGCAAAACTCAAATTAAATATTAATTTATCTTTAATTTTCATTCTTTTCTTCTGGGACAGCAAATGTAAGCAAAATTTGAAAATCAGCCTGCTTCTCCTACAACTTGATTAATCAATAACGCTGTAATATTATTAATATAATACGTATATAATTTTACGGTAACCGAATTTGATGTATTTCGCTAATGTTCTGACATGTGTATTGGCATTCTTCCCTTCTTATAGCTAGCTATGTATAACTTTATTTATTTATTTTTAATCTTTCAGAAGATGGCAATTCCAGCTCGACTCCACACACCCGACATCTGGTGGTCAGAAATACAACAGAGCAAGAGGTGACAGCACCTTCTAACATTAGCTTGCTATGGGACATCGAGAGGAGGGACAAGTACACAGTTGTCAAGCGATACATTCCCGCAGAAGGTAATGTTTCATAAACTACTCTTACGGCAGTAATTTTGTGGCGAGCTGGGGAAGCAAAATTCGCGGCAAAGCAGTCCCGGATTAAAATTCGCGAAACATTTATATTAAAATTTCGCGAAGCGTTTCACTGTCGAGGATTTGCGTTAACGTTTTCATGGGAGGAGGATATACCACAAACAAGTAATGGCATAGGTGACTTGTATATAACCGAATACAAATTACAGTTTTTAATGGATATTTGCATTTATAAATTAGTGACCTTCTGAAACGTATTGAAATTTTAGATCAATAATTGAAAAGTTATATTGTAAGCTGTATAACTTTATGTACACAAATTTTCGTCAACTTGTTTGTCGGCACTGAAAACAAAGGAAGGCAAATTTCATTAACGTCCGTAAAAGACTTTCCTATTTCAACAAAACGGTATTTCAAAGTTCAGTGTTCTGCATTGGGTTTTGTTTGGTAATTATGGCAAAGCACGCAAGGGCTATCTGCCTAAGGGCAAGGATGCCTTCATGGAGGATTTTCTAAGGGTGGTGTTTGTGTACTGAGAATACGGCAAAGCACACTAGGGCTATCTGCCTAAGGGAAAGGATGCCTTCGTGGAGGACTTTCTAAGGAAAACTGGTTCGTATACACGTTACACATGGGGAAACCACGAAAATGCTCATGCAGCCAGCCCGTTCGCGGGATTCGAACCTCGGACCGAACTACCATTGTTCAGCGATTTTACCGCTCGGCCGCTGGTAAGCCGGATTTTCTACGGGAAACTGGCTCGTATAACGTTACACAAAGGGAAAAGAACGAAAACGCCCATGCAGCTTACCCATCCGCTTAGGCTAGAACCCAGGTTGGAACTACCAGTTTTCAGTGACTTTACCGCTCGGCCGTTGATAAGCCCTCTTTGGGTTTTAGAACATGATTACATTCAATAGTTCTTTTGCTGAAATCTGATGGAAAGTAGCATAAAAGTTAAATAAATATGAAAATAAGCAAGAACCTATAATAAAATTAAAAAATAAGGAATAAATGCGAACTTCTCGGAGAAAGCTGATTTGCGCGAAATATAAGAAAATCTCCTAAAATGCCTCCAATCATTCAAGAAAATTTTCGCCGCTATAAAGTCTGTTCTGCCTAGTATGAGTGAAAGTAAGGCACAATCAATAATATCTTTACTGTATGAGTACGCTGTGATTTCTACGAAATTACACTGATGATGCTTCCCGTGCATACTCCGTCTGCGTGCCATTAACATACAAAACATTTAGAAAGATTTAAATAATATATATGTATAATAGGGAACTTAGAAGAATGAAGGAGGTGAAGAGAATGTTATCTTAGCCATTAGTTTAGAAAAATGAAGTAGAAAATCAATTTGACAAACAAAATTTTTAAAGCCATATATGTAACAAGTCTACGAAAGTGTTTACCCGAACTTACCAGACATATTTTTGCAACCGTTGGTCGTAGTCATAGAGTTCCAGCTACAGAAATGTTTTAAATGACGCAATAAAGATTCACGTTTTCGTATTTTTAAATTAAAAAAAAAAAACTTTGTTTAAAATACGGAATTTAACTATTTACCTGTTTCCTCAGTCCCTATACATATATAGAAAAATGTACTTGTAAAAAATAAAATTTAAAAAGTTTGACACCTCCCGTATGTCAAAAAATTGGCTCAAATTTAAAAAAAAAAAAAAAAAAAAAAAAAAAAAAAATTCTGAAAGTTTTCAGATTTTAACGATCGCCCAAAAGGATTTGTTAAGGTTTTTTATGCTCTAGCTAAGTTCGCAGTCTACCTGTCTGCTACTGCACTCACTCCTGCTAGCCCATTTATTTTTGTCTAGTTAGCTTTATTATTAAGCATTGTCGCAGTTACGCCATAGCTTTATTATTAAGCATTGTCCAGTTCAACAGCAAAGTTACAAAAGTTTTAAAAGTAGCATTTGCTTAGATTATCCGATTCGCCCACCAGCGGCTGAGCGGTAAAGTCGCTGAACACTGGTAGTTCGGTCCGAGGTTCGAATCCCGCGAACGGGTTGGCTGCATGGGTCGCGGTTTTCCCCATGTGTAACGTGTGTACGAGCTAGTTTCCCTTAGAAAGTCCTCCATGAAGGCATCCCTCTCGTTAGGCAAATAGCCCTCGTGTGCTTTGCCATAATTAAACACACACACACACACACAGATTATCCGATTCTGTGTTACGTGTTGGCATATATTTTTCTTTCTTTCTTTCCTCTATTTATATTTATTTATCTATTGTTGATTATTTTCAGTCTTATCTCAGTTTATCATGTCAATCATGTTCCTCCCACTTGCGCCTCATAAAATTCAATTTAACAAAATACAATAGTTAATAAAAGCATACCTTTAGAATTTCCTACATATGGTCTCGCTCGATGGAGATAAAAAATTTTTATTTCGCGCAGTGTTGCCACTGCTGGCTTACAAATCTTTGAGTTTGGTAGTCAAAAATTCATTAAAATTTTACAAAATATAAATAGATATTTCGAAATTCAAAATTCGGGCTTCCAAATGCACATTTTCAGATGGAGGACTACGTTATTCAGAATTTGATGGCTCTAGATACCGCCTCTTTTTCAACATACGTACATGAATGCAGATTCTTCATTCTTTAATTTGTTTAAATGTAAAACAGGGCGATAATATTTGGTGGCAATAATTTGAAAAATAATTCGCCGCTTATATTGGACTACACCAAATCACGTTTCGAGACTTAGCCCTTTTGTTCTAACATTCGTTTGGGCTAAAAATAATAAAAGGAGATTAAAAACTTAGGTAGATATTCTGTGCATTATAATTAATATGATCAAAAGTTTATAAATTTATCTAAGGATATTTGATAAATAATACACTGTTTTTCTGTCACAAGAAATTACATTAAAATAAAATTCTCCTAACTAGAGCTATTTTCGTCTCCCTATTTTTTTGTAATATTTACTACTGTACTTACTATATTGACCAATGCAAAAGATGAATCTTTTTTCGAATTTTACTGTAACATTAGAGAGGTAAAATTCTTTACAATGCAGCAATGTTTCAACGCATTTTGTGCCTAGTCAATGGAAGTCTTCATCTGATCTGCGAATTGCGAGCGTTTAAAGCTAGGAGTTAGCAGACTGGTTGAAAGTAGTGCGAGCAAATTGAGGAGGGGGATTGTTAAGTAAATTGATCTCTGGTCCATTAAGAACTTGAATATTCTAAGCAATTCCCTGTTTAATATCTCTGTGACGTGAACTCTTAAGTGGATATGATTTAGCATATTTGGATGGCCGTAAGCTGGAGTAATTAGTAAACAGGTTTTTTATTTTGTTAAGGGGGTAAAAAGTGGTGGCTAAAAAAAGAACGAAATAGAAACATAGCAGGGAGGGGGCGGGAAATAATCGATTTTTTATGTGTGGTTTGGCGGTCGTAAACATAAGAAGGAAACATCAATAAAATTTATTTACGGGTCATAAAGTTTTAGATTTATTAAGGATGTTTAGAATTCGTCCTTTAATTATTTCCCCTCATAAAACGTTGCCAGAAGGCTCTAATATTTTTCGTGCGCTTATAGAAGTGGACAACTTCCTGGAATCTCTCTCTTTTATTCCTTGTCAGGTACTGCATTCCTATTAGGTATGTGCAGATTTAAAAAGTCAGTATTGAAACTATCTGTGATGCAGGGAAGATTTTCTCACTAGTGTTTCATTAGGTACTCATTCATTCTTCATCAAATTACATGAGTTTTGCATCAGCGATTGGCAACGACTGTTGTAAAATTTCGGGCATTTACCTTGAGCAGAAAATGTTTATATTTTGAGCTTACTGTTATTTTTCTAATATGTCGTCACAGATCTGTGCAAACGTCGTGCAAAGGTACAGCAAGGAAAACATTTATGCTGTAGAGACGTTAAGTTATTTCGAAGCAGGAGATGTGAAAAATGAACAATGCCCTCGCCGGGACTCGAACCACGGACCTCTGGAATACGCGTCGAGCGTGCTGAGCACTACACCACGAAGGCATGCTAAGAAACTCCTAGTTCCGCTGATATGCCGGAAGTACCATGCGAACTTGCATGACGTGATCCGGCTCTCTGAAGTAGTGGCCGCTCGACGCCTGGCTATAGCATTTCTTGACTAACTGCTGCCGTGTTTGAAGGAGCGTTGAGGGTGAGGTAAGACACGCTAAGAAGTCGGGAGAAATACCTTATATACTCCTCCCTTTTAAAGGGCGACTGGGAATTAGGGAACCCAATCGCCAAATCTTGGTGGCGGTAAATCGCCAAATCTTGGTAAAATCATCATCCACCACTATTTTTAGTTCGAGCGTCACTATAGAGACATTAGGATTTGTTTTGAAACAGGAGTCATGAAAAACGAGCAATGCCCTCGCCGGGACTCGAACCACGAACCTCTCGAATACGCGTCGAGCGTGCTGACCGATACACCACGAAGGTATGCTAAGAAGGCGGGAGAAATACCTTATAATGCAAAATAATTTCTAGAGGAGAGAGAATTTGGAAAGTATTTACTGTCAACTCACGGTTAACTGCAAATAGTTTAATAAGGTGGTTGTGTGAATAGTTGTGGATGAACCCTACCCTATCGAAAAATAGTAAGTTTGTTTATTGCGGAATGAAAGAGATATTACTGTCATAAATCATCAGCGTAAAACAAAGCACTCTTCGGAAAATACATAAAATGGAAAATTAAAATGCATGAGTTAACAACAATGCCAGACGATGTTTGTTTAGATGAACTCTGTTTCTAAATGAGAAGTTCTAACCTATTTTTTACGAGTATTTAACTTTGACGACTTCGTTCATTTTTCTTGAAACTGCTGTTTTCGAATGCCATTTACAACTTGGTCTCTTCATTTCCATCGATGCTAATTCTTCCTTTGGACTGCAGGCCCTTTCTATTTTGAATATTGATTTGTTGAATACTAGTCTGACGTAATCTAAACAAGCCCACAACATTTTATCCTGGCAAGGAGTGCAAGAATGCGTCTCTCGTTGGCATGAGCCTTCAGCGCTATAGGTGACAGTATCACTTTGACCACTTCCGCCTCTATTTTTGATCCCCGTGAATGAGTTAGAAGTTCCCCCTTGCTTCTTTACCTTCCGCCAAACCACTGCACAGAACTTTTGGGTTGCAGTATATTTTGAGTGCCCCATGCCGTACAGATAGTCTACATTTACAAACATCCATGCCTTGTCCGGGATTCGAAGCCGGGCCCAATCGATACGGTAGTCGGCGTCACTAACCTCTATACCAGCTGGGCGGCAAACGCTGATTTAATTTCCGTAATTAAATTATCATATTCTTCAGTTTAAGCTCCTTAAAAACACAGGTAGATTGCGAACAGGACTTTTGCGTTAATTCTAATATAAGTGTTATTCCTTTTTCCTCCGTGTTATTATTATTATTATTGCTTTTAAACAGTGATTTTGATTTAACCGTCTGCTTCGGTATTACTTTGATTGTTTGGAAGGTCACAACGAATTAAAATGCGTATGGAGATGTTTCGTAATACAGATGTATCATTGTTATATAATGCATAATTTGCTCATTATAATTTAACAATTATTCTCTATTCGTGTAAAGCTAATTAAATTAAATTAAATTTTAATTAAGGAATTTTAATTGCAAAAAAATAAAAATAAAAATTATTGCTTCGAACTAATTAACAATATCATTTAAATTCAAAGAGCATATGTAAATTAAGTGCACGTATCTAAAATCATTAAAAATATATTATTCCAAAAAATAATTTATTATTCCAAAAAATAATAAGTGAATAATTGTTGACAGACTTGTCAAGGGGAAGCTCCTCCGAACGTAACTCTTCAGTTACTCAATTCGTGTTTCGTCATCCATATAGGCAAGGGTAAAAGTAAAATTCAAAACCAAAAGTAAAACCTAATGTTGTGAATTACAAAAAAAAAAAAAAAAAAAAAAAAAAAAAAAAAAAAAAAAAAAAAGAGAAATTTAAACAGTTGAATTTTGAGAAAAAAAGCAAGTAAAAGACTAGAGTTAAAATTAATTAAATTAATTAGAAGTCAATTAAGAGTAGAAAACCATAGAAACTCTTGCCTACTGGAAACCTCTCCAACACGAATTATGTATGTAAACCTAAAATAAACTATATACAACTATCAAAATATATAAAAAAATAATAATAAAGCAAGTACATAGTAAGTTTTAATTTAATTTACCTAGATCTAGATATTTGGATTTCTGAGTTGTACTAGCATTTGCTAAACTAGGTGAAGTGGAGTCGTTTGTTACAGCTAACTGTCTAAATAGAGGGCCGTAATACAATGTAAAGCTGCTACCTGGGAGAGCTATTGTAAAAACCTATGCTGTAAATTTTAATAATGTAAAATGCTTGTTTCGTGTGCAAAAATGTTGCTGTCCGAAATAATTACCATGGGTAATACCAATAAAAGTATTATCCGGAATTGTTGTGCTCGAATTAATTCAGATAAACGGAATTTTTGTTGTTTATATTACCGGAAATATAGGAAAGCTGGCGTACTGTGGAATAACTATTCATGTTATAGAAAGCAGAAAACTGGCCGCAATATTTGAAACGATTAACATTTGAGATATTTCCTAGGCATTTTATAGAATGCCAAATGACAAACCGGCAAAGTAGGAAGTACATTTCCTATTCGTTTCGAATATCTATACATATAATACATTTATTTCATAATTCCATACATTTTTCATATATTGTTTTCCTTAACAAGAGAAGGCATAAATTTTGTTTTGTACAACGTTCGTTCTTCTTTATATATTTTGAATAAAAATTTCTCAATGGCATCCTTCCGTTATTTTTCAAAATAAAATTTGTACTGTTGCGGAATGCACAATAAAATAACAGCTTCATCATCACTTTTTTTTCCTAAATAGCATCCGCAATCTACAGAAGACCTAGATATTGTATACAATCCCTAGAGAAGGCATATAAGGATTCTCATATTTCATACTTTGTCTAAAAACGCCAGACATTCTATAAAATTCCTAGGTATTCTAGAGAAAGCTGGCGTTTCATACATTGCCTGAAACATATACATTCAAAATAAGGTGGACTGATACAGATTTCTTAACTGTTTGTTTTCTGCAGGTGCCGAACCTGGTTTCAACGAGAGCGTCACCCTCTGCACGCAAGGCACTTACGAGTTCCTGCAGCACGTTCCAGAGCTGTGCGAGCGCTGGGAGGGCCCACTTTCTGTCTCTGTATACGCCCCAGGTACAGATCTACCGGTAGCTGTTCGGAAAATTCTGTTTTTGCGAACTTGCGGAGCTCCCTGCGTTCGGACAAATGTCACGTGGCACCTGGTTTACGAAACCGCGCTGGGACCGGATCGCCTGGAACTACCCCGGGAGGCAGCAGAAATGGAGGCCTACGAGCCCTTGGATTGTTCTGCCGGCACAAAGCCCTTGCAGCTAGTCTCCGAGATTAGAAACGTAAGTCATTTGCATTTATTACTTAATTTAGAAAAGAACTCATTTTTCATTATGCATGCTCTTGGTGTGGCTAGCTCGTCCCGCAGTAGCACCAGAGATCCGGGGTTCGATCCCGGGCGGGGCAAGGTTGACTCAGCCTTTCATTCCTGGAGTGGGTCGATAAAATAAGTTACAAGTTCGCTTGGGAACTAAACAACGGGGGTCCTGCGACAGGCTGACCACTTGTCCAGGCTATAATGCACAAGCACTTCTGAGTCCACGGTCTAGAAAGCAGATATCAGGGTACTACCGGCCATAGCTCTCTCTATGGGTTGTTTGTACCGTGGAGTTTAGTTTATGTTTCTTGGTGCTTGTTTATATGTCACTGTCATATAAAAAGACTTCTGATAACGGTGATCTGTCCATAAAGGTGCCAGAATCTTTATGCATGTGATTAGCCACTATTCAAAAGTAAATGAAACCTGTGTATGAAGGTCTTAACATGAAGGACCTTGTTGAGGCATTAGACTCTTTGGAGTAACAAACATAGAAAATCAACGATATCCTCAGCAAGGTATCTTTCAAAGCTGATTGGGTGGGCTATCCAGTTTTCTACAGAAAGATACATGTGTTGCCCTGTTATACGTCACTGTCATATAAAAGGACTTCTGATAACGGTGATCTCTCCATAAAGGTGTCAGAATCTTTATGCATGTCATTTTCCACTATTCAAAAGTAAATGAAACCTGTGTATGAAGGTCTTAACAGGAAGGACCTTGTTGAGGCATTAGACTCTTTGGAGTAACAAACGTAGAAAATCAACGATATCCTCAGCAAGGTATCTTTCAAATCTGATTGGGTGGGCTATCCAGTTTTCTACAGAAAGATACATGTGTTGCCCTGTTATATGTCACTGTCATATAAAAAGACTTCTGATAACGATGATCTGTCCATAAAGGTGCCAGAATCTTTATGCATGTGATTAGCCACTATTCAAAAGTAAATGTAACCTCTGTATGAAGGTCTTAACATGAAGGGACCTTGTTGAGGCATAGACTCTTTGGAGTAACAAACGTGGAAAATCAACGATATCCTCAGCAGGGTATCTTCCAAAGCTGATTGGGTGGGCTATCCAGTTTTCTACAGAAAGATACATGTGTTGCCCTGTTGTCTTCTGTTGAATTAAATGTGGTGTTCTTGTTTCTTGTAATAGTGTTCCTGGTATTTTCACAATAAATATCGCTAACGAAAAGTTTCTGAAGTGTGTCATTCTATTCTGTGCTTTGTTTGTTAGAATGACTCCTCTAAGAAATATGTTTCTTACATTAAGAAGATGTTTTAGTTTTGAAGTTAAAATGACCTGATGCCAAAAGCATGTTTTCCCGGTGGATGGGGTATATATCTTTCTAGGGAGGGGGATTAAGTGCATGCTATCTCATAACGGAAAAGAAAAAAATATTTTCTCAATGATATGTTGTTCTCAGATTCCTAGTTTTAGTTTTATTTGAAAACACTGTAGGAGTAATTTTCTTCAAAATATCTTTTAGATTTGATATTCCGTTTAAAACATTTCCCTACTTTTATTGAATGGTTGTTTGGATGCACGTTTCCTACACCAATTTTCTTTCAGTTGTTTTACAATATGGCGATTTAAATGATATTTTTAATTATCCAGTATAATTTGCAGTGGAATGCATGAAAACATTAATTTGTTCGCAAATAATTTGCTCTTCATGTTTGATCAGGTAAATTATTTAATTTAATCAGAGAAAAATCAAGAGAGCGAGGGAAATTAAAAGTTGAACTTCAGGGACAACTTTGTGCTAAGCGGTTACAAAATTTTAAGTACTCAGTAGTATTTAGAAGCACTTAGTAATAATTATTAGTAAAATTGTAAATACTATTACTAGTGAATTGTATTTGTATTAACAAAATTGTAACTACTTCAGTTTGAAAGTGCTTATCTTTACCTGTCACGGAACCAACAACAAGTTTTTAAGAGTGGAGTATTTAAACAAAAATAGGCATGAACTTAAGGTTCCTTGAAGATCAGTACCAACCTTGTACTAAGCGGTTACAAAATTCTATGTATTTAGTAGTAATTAGTCATAAAATTGTAGGTACTTTGTAATTACAAAATTGTAAGTAGTTCAGTTTGAAAATACTTATCTCCACTTAGCACCGAACCAAAAATAAGTTTTTGAGAGTAGATTATTAATACACGTGAGTTTCAGATAAGTATCGGGTTTTACCGCCATCTCAAATATCGTCTGCGCAAACAGTTCACGTTGGCGTGTTTAATCATATTTTGTCAAATGATTTTTGGCATTTAAAAGAAGGAGATCTACTTTAGAACACTGTGTTGTGAAATTTGTAAAAACAAATATCGTTATCATTAAATACAAATTGTCTGGATTGGAACTAACACGCTATCAGATTAGAACTATTATTTACTTCCAGTTCTGTTGCAAAACATCAGTTACAGATTGTCACCAAATCACGTGTACAGCTTTAGTTGTATCATATGACACTGTGAGAGTTTGGTACCGAAAGTTAAAAAAAAGGAGGGAGGGACTATGACATTCAAGAAGCAGAGCGCTCTGGTCAGCCTACTGATATTGATGAGGCCCGCGTGCGAGAACTTGTGGAAGAAGATCTGTGCGCAACCACTCGAGAGCTTGCTAAGTTAGACGTTAGTGCCATGCTCATTAGTCGAGCTATCCATCGCATAAACTTGAAACTTTGAAGTTCAATCTCTGGGTGCGGCATGAGCTAACACAAGCAGATAAGGATAGATGTGTTCGAACCTGCACTAATCTGCTCAAATATCAACGCCAGAACAAAATTCTGGACCGGATCGTCACTTCTAATGAAAAAAGGATTTACTTCAACAACACAGGCTGCAAAGAGGGTTGATCTGCGGCCGGTGAGCCCGTCGGCAGCGTCGCAAAACGCAATTTGACTAACAGAAAGATCATACTTTGTATCTGGTGGGATTGCCGAGGTATTATCGACAAAGAGTACCTGGAAAAAGGTAAAACCCTGAACAATAAAATGTACAGCGAGATTCTAGTCCGTGCCCATCTAGCAAGGCCATATTTGTGGGCATATATAGCCCCGTAATCGCTCTTTCGCACTTCTACCTTTTTTAACATCTGCAACTACATCTTGCTGGTGCTATCTTAAATTCTTCACAGGCCTTACGAAATGAGGTTGGTCTGTTTTCGGACTTGTGGCCACAACGTTTCTGGGCCGAAGACTTTTGAAAAACTGTCAAATGGCAGAAAATCATAGATTTGGGTGGTGATTAACTACCCGCACTAAAGGTACTGCTAATCATATTTTTTTCCATAACTTTATTAAGAACGTTGAAAACTTTCGCTACAACTAGATAATTTCATCAAGTAAAAAAAAAAAAAAAAAAAAAAAAAAAAAAAAAAAAAAAAAAAAAAAAAAAAATCAAGGTTTAGTAAATATCTGACACCAACCAATTTGTTCCCCTTCCTTTAAAAAAAAAAAAAAAAAAAAAAAAACTGAAAGCTTTCAGGTTTTATATTACGCCGAAAACGGGCGTTTTTTCATTTATACACTCATACACATCCCGAGAGCAATTTTGGCGTACATCCCTTTGGGATAAAAATATTTAAAAACAACATAAGAATTTCCAGTAGACAGTCTAACGTCATGGAGATAAAAATGTTTTATTCTGTACGGTGCTACCACTGCTTCCTTTGAAATCGTTTAAGTTTTTTAATAAAAAATTCATTAATGTTTTACAAAATGTGAAATTCATAATAAAACAAATTCGAAATTAAAAAATCGTGCTTCCAGGTGTTCATATTCCGGTGGAGAACAACGTCATTCAAAATTCGATGGCTTTAGGTACCGTTGTTTTTTTTCACATTGCGAGAAATATACATACATTCATACAGATTCTTCATAATTTAATTTTTCTTTAAATATAATACAGGGCAGTAATATTGGGGGGCAACAATTGCATTGATTCAACGCAAAATCCCGTTTCGAGACTAATAGCCTTCAGGGCTAGAGTCCCTTTGGGGCTAAAATAGGAGTTCTGCATTTGGTTTAAAGAACTGCCAGTCATATAGCGTATTTTTAAGCTGCATTCAATGGACATTCTTGTTACTAAGCGTTCCGTCGTCCCCAAAAGGTTAAACAAATTACGATTACATTACTCCACCTATTGTAACGTTTGCACTAAATGCACAAAATTTCAAACGCAGAAACTTGAAACGCGTCTGAAAATACTGACATAAAAAAGGCGGAATATCGTCTGATTGTTCATATCTCGTGTTTGCAAAAGAATTACATTTCCACTTAGAGTAATTTTTCAGACGCTTGGCTACCACCCAAATTGTTAGTTAGCTTATTTGTTTCGTTATCAGTTCCATCTAGCAAAATACGAATTCTGCATACTTTCGGTGGGCGTCAAGATCGTGTTTCTCATGTTCCTTTCGTGATAATGTAGATATATGTGCGTGTGAATGTTTAATGGAAACGTTTTCCAGCATTTTGTTAAAACAGTGGTCGATATTTAGCTGCTGTTAGTTTTAAAGCACGATTAACAAATCCTTTAAATATCCCGTCTTATTTCCTTTTATGCTTATCGTTTATGCTTTAATGCATATACTTTAATGGGAAACGAAAAATGACATAATAGAATCCACAAATGGAATTAGGTAAAACTCGGGCATATCGTTACGTGTTTTTTACGATATGCATTCTGAATGAAATCCATTAGCATAAAAAATATTATTCTCCTAACGTTATGGCAAGAATATCGCAGATCAAGTTGCGTTCTGAAAGCTTTTAATGTTTGTTTTATTTGTTCTGCGACGGCTTAGTAACAGACGCTGTGGGAGAAAATAAAAATAATAATAATAATAAAGCAAAATCTGAAAGGATTTAGATTTTAACGGTCGCCCAAAAGGGTTTGTTAAGGTTTTTTTCGCTATCGGTGAGCTCGCAGTATACTATAGTCCGCTGTTACACTCACTTCTACTAACCATTTTCTATCTTTTTTTTGTCTTTTTAGCTTTATTATTAAGCATTTTCTTCGCACTTACGTCATATACAATTCAACGACAAAATTCCAAAAACAAAAATTAAAGGCAACATAGCAGTACACGTTTAGAATTCCCGATGCAATGTTAAATATTAGCATGCATTTTTTTTCCCTTCCTCTCCCCAATACAGAGGCCCGCCAGCGGCCGAGCGGTAAAGTCGCTGAACACTAGTAGTTCGGTCCGAGGTTCGAATCCCGCGAACGGGCTGGCTGCACGGATGTTTTCGTGGTTTTCCCATGTGTAACGTGTGTACGAGCCAGTTTCCCTTAGAAAGTCCTCCAGGAAGGCAGCCCTTCCTTAGGCAGATAGCCCTCGAGGCTTTGCCATAATTACACACACACACTCCCCAATACAGTGTTGTCATTGCTCGCTTTGAAATCGTCGAGTTTGTTAAAGTGTTACAAAATATGAATTCGATAATAAAACAAATTCCAAATTAGAGCTTCCAGATGCCCATATTAGGTAGAGGATTACGTTATTCAGAATTTGGTGGCTTTAGGTACCGTTGTTTTTTCACAATGCGAGAAACATTCATGCATTGACGCAGATTCTTCTTTATATAGTTTCTTTAAGTATTATACAGGGCGATAATATTTGGTGGCAACAGTTTGAAAAATGAATCAACGCAGAAAGTGAAACGACTCAAACTGCAGTTTTGAGTCTAATAACCCCCTTATAGGTTAACGCCTCTTTGGACTAAAATATAATTAATTAATTCTTCTAGGCGTTTAGTTTCAGATCCGCATTGTAATCTTTCGATTTTTGGTTTTGACCGGCAGGATTCCTCAGGTCATAAACCAAAAGAGAATGCATACTCTGTGACCACAGTAATAAATATCTAAAGGATTTACGGGGCTGACTTTTTGAGCGGCTGTATAGGTCCTGCGAGTCAAAGCTAATAATAATTAAAATACCATATGGACCTTCAGACTAAATATCTAAATTAGTATGTCTTGTGGAACCCTTGCAGGAGTTGTACAAAACCTGAAGTTTCGACAAGTCAGAAGAAACCCAAGGTTTCCAGAGAAGACCATTTTCCTAGATAGTATACAACTTTTGCAATTGATATGTGCGATAAAATAAGCCTCAACATTTTTTTTTTTTTTTTTTTTTCTTCTGGTTTCTTGTTTCTTTGAGCGAGAAATGTTTTGAAAGGGAAAAAGAAATGGTTTCGATGGAAATGACCCAATTACCCTTTCCTTTCATTCTGAAGCGCATTCCCCCGAGCAATTCCTTTTTTCAGTTGGCATTTTAATGGCATGCAGCGAAAATGTCACGGTGTTAACGGTTGCGTGTTTTATTCGTAGATGGATGATCTTTCGACATATTTAAATGAAGGATGAATTGAATTGCAGAGTTAGCAATCATAAAATGTTCTCTTTTATACCCCGAAATTTTGACACGTTGATATGAATGCTTTAAAACTTAAGTCTTGAAACTGTCGACTCATAAAATTATAATTTTTTTTGGTAGAAACTTTAAATCCTCAGAAACGTAGAAATTATTTAAAATACAGTGAATCTTTCGTGGCGAATACACCCCTAAATGGACCACATCCGAAAATGATTGGTATTTGTGAAATCATAAATAAAGATCATTCACCTCTATAAGAGGTCAACTTCACAAAAAACCAAAATCACCTGCAACCAACCGTGGATTGTTGTCTTAGACAAAGTTTTATGTATCAGTGCTACGTGATATTTGCGTAGAAAGGTAAAGAGTATCATTATTTTGTTTTGTTATAATTTTACTCATAAAATCGAAATTAATTTATATTATATTGGGTCTTCTATAAGATGAGCATATACGTTTCCAAATGATTTGAATCTTCTGTCGAAGTGGCTGCCTTTTAGAGGTAATAATCATTACGGATTTATTTATATTTTCATAAATATTTTCGCAGTAAGTTGGCTACTGGAGGTGGTCGCTACGAGAGTGTTTACTATATTTTAATTTATATTTCTGAATGATAATTTTTCCCCGAATACCTACTTCCCCTTTATAAGAGTAATAAAAATAATAAGAAGGAGAACTTAAATTTTTAGCACAAAGAGGTGTTAGCCCAGAACGTTAGCTTTGAATCACTAAAAGCGTTGCATCACTTTTCAGATTGTTGCCACCAAATATTATCGCGCTGGTTTATATTTAAAGAAATTAAATAATGGATATATGTTTCTCCCATTGTGAAAAAACGACGGTACCCAGAGCCATCAAATTTTGAATAGCAGAGTCCTCCACCCGAATATGAGCACCTGGAAGCTCGAATTTGGAATTTGTTTTATTCTCTATTTAATATTTTGTAAAACTTTTAGGAATTTTTAATTAACAAGGTCAACTTCAAAGCTAGCAGTGGCAACACTGTATGAGGTTGCCACTGCTAATAGATAACATTTAATGTAGATAACATTTTTATCTCCAGCATGCGAGACTCTGTATGTAAATTCTAAAGATATTGGCTTTTAAATAGGTTTAGCTCAAAAACACTTTATCCCAAATGCACTTAAGACGTGTATGCGTGTGTTAATGGAAAAAAAAAAAAAAAAAAAAACATTACTCCGTTTTCTATCGAAGGGAACAAAATGTGTCATAAATACATTTAGCATTTCGGATTTTTTTGACAAACGGTTTGGGACGCATATATTCCAGCCGTAGTTAGTGGTGGGATACATATGTCCCACACGCAGCGATCGACTTCTTATTATCACACGTACTATTCTGGAAAACTTTATTATATGAAATATATTTTACATCCTTTGGTACAGGATAAGGCATTCTTTGCATAACGCAACATTACACATTGGGCAACTTATATTTATTCTTTTCTCTACGTTCATATGTGTACAATGAGCAGAGCGGCGTTTTGATTATCCAACTCTTGAAAGATGATCCCCCAACATTCAGGAGATTCTAAGTACTTTTTAATCCAGAAGTAATTTTTAAACTTTTAGTGGGGCATATACGTCCCCGTTAGTAGTCAAAGGGTTAAGTCCTTTATTCTCCCACGTTGTATAGGATTGGAAGAATAAATTTTTATTTCTTACTTTACGTTCATTTAAGTGAAATAAAGACTTTCACTTTAAAGTTACGAGTATGATATTTTAATTTCTTTTTTTTCTTTAACGTTTTGCTTTATTTTGCAGTCCAAGAAACTTCCTTATCCAATCAATGTGGCCCGCAATGTGGCACGTCAGCTGGCCCGCACTCGGTATGTCTTGGCGTCGGATATCGAACTTTACCCAAGTCTTCATATCGTACCAAGGTAAGATTTTAATAACGGCTCTGTCTTCAACAAAAATTTTCATTTATTTTTCTTTTTTCCATTACTACCTTGAACACTGATTAGTTTCGCTTGATTGGCGGAGCTCATTGCACATGCTGACCAATTTTCGGGTCTACCTAAAAGAACCTGAAAACCAAAAAGAACAATTAATGCAATTTTCTGTTTTGTTTCGTGCTATAAAACAGCTAATCCCTGCGCTTCACTTTTGGGTTACCATATAAAGAAAAAAAAAAACTGAAACTTAGAGACCACCAACAAAGAACTCCCGTTCAAGTTCTTTAGCTCGAAACTGACTTGGGTGAGAACGTGCAATCTGTAACTTTTTGCAGAAAGGAGGAAAAATTGCCCATCTTTATTTTAGTGATAAAAATGATAGAAAAATTGTCTGAAAGACGAATCTCTGAGAATTTCCTAACGGGGCGTTCATGCGATGGCTTTGCAGGGCACAAATGACATAAGTTGAATTTCTTTGCTAGGCGATCAGAGTTTGTTGCGTCGTGGAAACGTGTATAAGGATTTTGTCTAAATGTTTTTTAGCTGTTCATATTTAGGCCAATTTGGTAGAAGAATCAATCAGTCGCAGCGGAGGAAAAGTGAACTGACATTCAGATGACTATTTCGCTGAGTCAGTCGCACATTCATGCGTTCGCAACTCTACCTTCTATAATTGGCTACGTTTGTAAACTCTTTTGCATAGGTGTGAAAGGAGGTTTTGAATTATACGTGCTAGGACTATGACGATAATGACGGCTAGACCATCGGGGGAACGCTGTTTTTTAGGCTGATTAGATTTTTCTCTGAAGCCACCGTGGGACCTGACGATTGTTTGGCGTTCGGAAGACGGAATGCTGGTCCGTCTCCAAGTATTGGTAACGTAGGCAGTAGGTTAGGATGCCAACCAAGAACGATCGAAAAGAGTGAAATACTATAAAATTATATTGTATCACGTACGTGTCGGGGAAGCGATTTTTGAACATCCTCATATGGAATCTTAGAATAATTGTCTATAGAATTCGGCGAAAGAAACAAGTTTTCGATCATGGACATTCCGATGAAGCTCTGGCAGATGAAGAAAGTCATTTTAAAAAAATAAAATTGCTTCAGTCCAATTACAGGTCAAACGCTTTCTTCAGTGAAGCAGGGATTTGAGCAGTTGGACGTGGTGAATTTACTCTAATTATTTTTTCATTAGCTTGATAAAGTTGGTAAGGATTATGATCGGAAAATTTTAAAAATTTGCAACTTCTTGAATAGAAATAACAGTCGAAGGTGCGATGAGCAGCCATTCATTTGGTAACTTTGAAGAGGTGACCACGAAATTTTTAATCGACAGATCTCATTCTCGGAATGGCTAAAACTCTAAAACAAATTGCTTTTCTACATTCTCTTGTTCTCTTTACATAATTACTTATTCTAACGTATTGTTACGAATTTTGTATATACCTGAATAATTTTAGTGAAATTATATGTTATAGTATCTTTTGTATAGTATAACATGAATGCTTGAAAAAAGGCGAAGCTCTGTCGGAAACATAAGGTGACAGGGACAAGTCTAGAAATAAAGATTTCTCGAAATTACTGGAAGGCATATACGGTTAAAGTTATATAAGGACCGCGTACGGTTACAGTTACATATAGTTACATATCAATATACATATTATTGTTGCATATTAGGTTTGGCGACATTTGATGAATCGCTAAAAACCAACTCCAAGTTGGCGATGTATCGTCAATGTAGCGAGATAGTCATTTACCTCAATGTTAAATAGACTTGCCCCTGTAAACTTTTTTTTTCGCAGAGCTTCGTCTCTTTTAAGCATTTCATGTTACAGTATATACAAAAAGTAGTACAATTTCACATATAATTTCACTAAAATTATTTACATATATAGAAAATTCGTGTAACAGTTATGGATCGCCTCGTTTGACAATTCAATTATCATTAGTTGCAGATTAGTTCAATTATCATTAGTTCAACTATCATTAGTTGACAATTCAGTTACCTTTAGTTTTTTAGACAAAAACATTGTTTGAGCTAATGTTTAAGTAGAAAAAAACTTCGAATTCTTTTGTGCTCATATGTGTAGGAAATGATATTACTGAAGAATTACTGTTCAATGGCATCGCTGTAGCCAATATATGAGGTTATATTGATTAAGTAAATTAAAGAAAGAAGCAATTAACTAAAGAAATCTGTACCATGGCTTGAATCAGTCATTGATATACTTAATTAATACAGGGCTGATTGCCTAGGGCGAGGAGAATGCTGGAGCTGGGGCTGAAAGATGGGAAGGGAGGGTGTCGTTTGAAAAATAATATCTGTATTTCAAATAAACAGAAACTATCTTCATGAGTCATTACTCTATTTGTTATTAAAATGCAAGCTGTGTTATTGTAGTATTTGTTTCCAGTAAGCGAAGCCTAATTAATGAAGCAGCGAAATTGAGAGAGACGTGAATGATTCTGAAAAGAAGATAAATCTCAATCCATTTCGTTCACTTTCAGTTCTCACCGGTTTCATTTTTTATACGTGGATTTTTGGTTTTAAATTTTAATTTATGGTTGTTATTCCTTTTGAACCAAGTATTTTATTGAATAGTTTTATATCGGATATTTGGGGATAGGAGTCTTTCCTCCCTTTACTGTCTTCTCATTCAACAATATTTCTCAAAGTGATCCCTTTACTATTCTATACTTGATTTTAATTTCGCTTTTATTCTTTAAAATTTGAACTGAAGTTGGAATAAAAATTTATAAATTCATGTCTGTCCTTTTTTACAAAATAAGATTTATGTATTTGTTATTATCGAACATATTTCTAATACCACAAATATATCTCAATGACCGTGTACTTGTATGATGCGTTATTAAAATTCAACAACATCTTGGAATACTAATTTAGAAGTCAAACAACAAAAATCAGCGTTATATTTGCAAATTTTCACAAGAATAACTTCTTGGAATATTTGAAGCATCCGGGACATAGCTTGAAACGAAAAGCTGCAGTAAAATCGGGATTGTCCCGCACTGTCCGGGATGTTCGATCACTTTATTTTTACCTTATATTTTCCCTTCATAGTTTTTACGTTGTTCGGTCTTGTTTAATTTGAATTAAGTAATATTGACGTATATTTATTTATTAAATAATATTGATTATTATTTTAGTAGGTTAAAAGAAAGATTGTTAAATCAATGTACATGAATATCGAAGAATCGATATTTATATACAAATGCATATGTATATCGAAGAATATTGGTAATTAATTAAGACAACAATAACACGCCGAATAAATACTAATTCAGAAGTCAAACAACAAAAATCAGCGTTAATTTACAAAACTTTCACAGGACTAGTTTCGATGGTTTTACCGAACCATCATCTTCAGCTGCAAAACCGCAAATGAACAAGATAGGAAATAATGTTTAGATAAGATAAGAAAGCCTGGACAAGAATAAGCAAGTGGCGCCATCTGTTGGCGAACCAGAACTAAAACATAATTTCTCTAAAGCCGAAGGCAAATTTGGATTGGAATTAGGATCGTTAACTAGAACAGAAAGATTTTTATGAATGTGAAATGCCTCTAGAAAATCCAGTTCTCCAATGGAAGATGTTTTTTGAATAATTTTGGCAGCAGAAAAAATTGAAAGTGTGATTTTCGGACCAACAATGTTGAGCAACAGAAGACTTCTGTGTTTCCTTTTTTCTAACATATGCCTCATGTTTCTTGACGCGAAATTTTAAGGCTCTCCTTAGTTTGGCCAATGTAAATTAAACCGCACTGGCAAGGAATCCTATAAATACCCCAGGAATTCATATCCGGAATGGGGTCCTTGAGTATAGAAGTTGGAATTTTATTGATGGGAGAGTAAACAACCCGAAAGTTAAATTTCTGCAAAATATGTGCAACTTTATAGCTAATTGATGGAAAGAAGGGAATGACAACAGAATTTTTATAATCTCCTAAAATAAGAGTGTGGCTTTTAGTGTGTTGAGATGAGAATTTTTTAACTGCTTGATTAATAATGTTGGGTGAAAAGCCCCTGTCAATAGCTATTGCTTTTAAATAATTTAGTTCTTCATCAAGGGCTAGTTTGGAGGAGCAAACTTGAAGAGCACGGAAAACATAGGAATAAAATGAAGCTAACTTTTGTTTAGTCGGATGACATGATTTAAAGTGTGGTGGAAGGCAAACCGATGAAGGTTTACGGTAAACTGTAGTACTGAAGTTGGATGTGTTACGTGTGACCAGAATGTCGAGAAACGGAAGAGAATTGCAAGTCTCAAGTTCAAAAGTGAACTGAATAGCAGGATCAATAGAATTCATTGTTGAAAGAACTCTATTTAAATCATCTTTATTACCTTCAAACAGGGTAAAAGTATCGTCTACGTAGCGGAACCATGCCGGGAAGTTTAAAGTTTCAAACAATTTTGATTCATAATAATGCATGTAGATATCAGCCAGGATGGGACTGAGGGGGCTTCCCATGGCTAATCCCTCAGTTTGCTTGTAATATTTATTTTGGAAACAAATGTGTTTGTTTCAAACAGAGTTGGGTGAGAGAAATTAGCTCATCAATTTCGATGCAAGAGAAATGAAATTCGCGAAGTCTGGTTTCTAGACATCTTAATGCACCCTCCACTGGGGACATTGGTGAATAATGATTTTACATCAAAAGAAACCATGAGTAAATTACGAGGAGAAATGTTTTTAACCTTTTTTACAAACTCTATTGAATTTTTTTATGGTGTAAATGTTATTGTCTAATAGAGTGGAAAATCTAGAAACTAAATATTTAGCTAATGGATACGAGGCAGTACCTAAATTTGATACAATAGGGCGGAAAGGAATACCACTTTTATGAATTTTGGGAAGAGCATATAATCTGGCACAATTCGCAACAGATGGGATAAGCGAATGTTTTAAGTTGCTTGAAATGATTTGCGAAGATTTGATCGCAGTTTTTATTTTGGATAAGTC